CCACCATCTGCTGCAGCATCATCCTCCTGGCTCTTCCTGTTGAACTCCAGGATTAGGGGCCAACCCTCCCAGTTTTCCAGGGACTTCTGGGGGAGTAGCCGTGTCTACTGTGCACAGTGAGGAGGCAGCCGCGCTGGGGCTAAGGGAAGCGCAGGCGTCCGAGACTGGGAGTCAGTTGCTCTTCTCTGCAATGGTTAGCGTGCCCCTGGGTGCATCTGCTAGCAGGTGGCATAGGTGGGAAGCCTGGACAGCTGAGAAAGGAAGACGGTGGCTTTTTCGACCAAAAATCAGGCGCGGGGTGGAGCGGGAAGCCGAGGGGGCAGCTGCCCTCTGATGTGAAGAGTGTCTGCAGGGTGAGACAGCAGCTCTACTCGCGGTTGTATCAGAAGGAAAACCTGGGCCAGAAGCCCTGCAGGTGGGAGGAGGAGGCTTGGGCTAGGAGGAGGGAGGACGTGTCCCCCCCCCGAAGGGACCTGCCGGGCTGTGGGCTGAGACGAGGGCCCAGCTGCCTACTGTGCGGAAGGAAAGAGTGTCCAGCCAGAAAGGTCAATTTAATCTAAGACAGAAAGGCGTCAGCGTGCTGGAAAGAGAGAATTCCCAAGAGGGAGCAAGGGCGAGGAGGTCTACTAGTCTGTGAACTCTCCAGACTCCAGAGAAAGCGCTCCCTCGGGCTCCAGCACAACCTCTGGAATGTTCTCCAGAGACAGAGATAGGAGTTCCGGATTCTTTCTCCGGACCTCTCCTGGCAGCTGGATGCTGGAGCTTTTCAGGAAAGGTGACACAAGCATGCCCGTTCACAGCGGCCGGTGTGCCTGCCGGGTGCGAAACTAGTCACACGCTTCACAGCACCTGTGGATCTCCGAACGTCTCAAGATTAAACTTCCAACTCTGACCATGACATTCTAGATACAGCCTTAGTTTTGCAAAATTTTAGCAATAAAAGCGAACAAGTGACACAAGTAAGAGAAGAGATATGAAAGTCATGATGGGGTTGTGTAAGGAAGTAGAAATATAAAAACGTCACGTTTAAACATTTCTCTTTGTGCTTCTGCTTAATAACAAAATAAGTTGGTTGCATAATGAAACAGAACTTCTAAGAAAAGCAAAAGGACTCATATGGTGACTATTCTGGATATCACTAATTTCCACTGCTGGAAAAATAACACCTTCTAGATATTCCCAGATAAACTGTTGTCTGAGTGCTGCCATAGTGACAATTCTTTCTGTGTCAGGTTCCAGAACAGCGGCCAACGCTATTTTGCTTCAAGTCAGATATGGAAAATGGGAAGAAAACACTAGGCTGCTAACAAAACACCCTGCTTAGACACCAGGAGTGTAGATAACCAGGCATTGTTGAACCAAGAATGAAATCACTCTCAGCAGCTCTAAAACCAACTTCCAGTGGAATCAGGCTTCTGATTTACTTTAAAAAATCTCACAATCATATTCCACAAAGTCATGATTGACCTTGCTAGAAAGGACAGGCCTGCTCACAGAATGAGGGTGACAGAAAGCCTCCTCTCGCTGTTCTACAACGTCTAGAGGGCGCCAGGCACTGGGGTCTGGCTGGCGCACTCTCTGACCCACCGGCAGCTGCCGGGTGGACCAGTGGGACCCCCACCCGGCGTCTGAGGAGCGGGCAGCACAGTACCCGCCAGCCTGCCACCGTCTTGGCCACGTAGGTGGGAGGAGACAGATTCATTACAGAACCCGAAAAGACTCATGCTGACAAAAGCACCAAAGGAGAATGACTGATTTTATTAGTCATTTAATTACACTCCCAAGGCTGATGTTCAATTTATTAAAACATCTGTTTGTCTACCAAAAAGAAATCTGAAAGCCACACATTGTTTTTGGGTTGGGGACCCTCGATCAAATGATCTTGCCATTGGATAACCACACAAATGAAACGTGTCTAGAGCCTCCTCCCTAGCATCTGGGAAGACACCCTCGCCTCAGATTCTCACTGGATGCAGGGCTAAGGGCCGGGGCCACCGGGATTCACGGGGCTGCTGGGTGACCCAGATTCAGGGCGCTCATTTCCATTTCTGTCTGCCAGACAGCCCCACTGACTTATAAACTGCTACAGAAATGAAAACGGGTGACGTGTGCCCAGTGACGCCAGAGTCACAGGCTGGTTTCAGCGGCCATTGCAGCAGGCCCGGCCAGGGGGCTCTGAATGGAGAAGGGGTCTGCTTATCCCGATCCCGGGGTTGAAATTTAGGCCACACAATGGCAGTAACCCCTCCAAAACAGGAACCGATGCCTCTGGACTGGGGTTTCCTATACCTGGAGGAAGGTTTCCAAAGGCACTGTGCTCATGAACTGCCTCTCCTTGGGGTTGAAATGCAGGTTCTGAGTGGGTAGACCAGGCTGGGGCCTGCACTCCCACCATTCCGAACCCCTCTTGAGGTCTACCGCTGCTCAGAAGACCACCTGAGAGCAGGAGGAAGCTAGACCCTCTCTGCTAAGTCACCTGATGTATAACCTGTCAAACCTCCAACGCCACCAGCCCAGGATCTCAGACAGCTGGTGTGGCAGGAGGTAGGGACAGCACACGGAGGACGGAGTCCTCCTGACATGAGCCAGATCATGGGCGGGTGAAGAGGGAGAGGCAGAAGCTTCTGGAGGGACCTCCCACGCGCAGCTGCGGAACGGCCCTGCTTTGCATGTTGATCCTGTCTGCTGCGGTGCAGTTGTTGGCCCAGAGCTGCATCTGTCACGGTTGTGTGACCTGGCCCGGCCCTGGTCATGGCTGGCCAGCCCACCATGCCCTGCCCTGACGGCCTCCGCTCATAAGCTCTCATGTCCATTCTATCCTGGAACCTCTTGCCCTGTCCCTTCCCCTGTCTTTGTTCCGTTTTCCCTTCCTTCATCTATTCAACTTCTCATTCTACCCCCCAAATAGAAGCGCTTTAAGAAGTAAAGAGGAATGGATGTCTTGCGTAGATGCTCCGTCCTCTGAACGCTGAAGGACTCTCTGGATGTTTACTGTACTTTACTCAGTAACAAAGCAATGTCCAATCAACAGTGTGGTCTTGGGGAAGCCTATTCTGAATTAACTTTCAACTGATCCTTTCAAACATTTAAAACTTGGGACCTGATGGGTGAAAATTTTGCTAAGACACGTGATGAAGTTTCTGGCTGTCTCCAGGAAAGCTGGGCAGCGCTTCCTGGCCCCCATTCGTGGAGCCGCTGGGGAGGTACGCTTCCTCATCTGCAGCAGCGCGCCAAATTCCACACCGAGAGCCCCCCAATACTTGGAACTACAGTATCTACTTCTGCATTAAATGGTCCCATGTGAGGTCTACTGAATTGTCCTCTCTGTGTTTTGGGGTTCTTCCAGCCCACCTCTTGACTGCACCTGGCGTCTGTCATTCCTTATCACTTCCAGGGTGCCTGACTCCGGTAGCTGCCATTCCCACTGAATGTGCCACTTCCAACAAGCTCTGGGCTGGGAAACCAGACAGCCCTTCTTATCAAGACTGCATCTAAAATTAGAGCCGATGTATCCGAATATGCACCTGAGGGCCTCCCCAGGGAGAGAACACAGCAGGTTTGGGTACAGGCTTTGCCGTATCTATTTTGGCCCAGAGTCTCTTGGGGTTCATTTCCTCTTTCTCAGGCTGCCTTAGAGGTTGCTATTATTAGATGAGAGAGCTCCAGGTAAGTCCGGGCTTAGAGGTTTCAGATAATTAATGAGTGAAGACACAATGCAAAATTAAAGCAAGTGCCTCCGAGATCGTCACACAAATGGAGTCACAATATTGTTAAATGACAGAAATACATTGACTCACAATGCAGTGAAACTGACTGTCACTTGTTTATCACTTTCACTTGGGAGACGATACTATCACTAGAACTCCTTCTGAAGCATTGCAGTGTCAAGAATTCTCTGGAGGCCAGGCACGGTGGCTCACACCTGTAATCCCAGCACTTTGGGAGGCCAAGGCAGGTGATCACGAGATCAAGAGATTAAGACCATCCTGGCTAATATGGTGAAATCCCATCTCTACTAAAAATAAAAAATTAGCTGGGCATGGTGGCAGGCGCCTGTAGTCCCAGCTACTTGGGAGGCTGAGGCAGGAGAATCGTTTGAACCCGGGAGGCGGAGGTTGCAGTGAGCCGAGACGGCGCCACTGCACTCCACCCTGGCCACAGAGTGAGACTCCATCTCAAAAAAAATAAAAAAGAATTCTCTTGAAGCAGACCCAGACCCATCTGTGTATCCAGGGACACATCTGTGCCTTCCGTGAAGCCGGCTCTGGGCCTGTCTGTGTCCCTCTCACCTCACCCCTACCCCGCTTCGTCAGCGCCCTGAGGCTCTTTCCTCCCTCCTGGCCTTCCCTCCTCACCCTTGACGCCAACCTCCCCTCACACAGCCAGCCCCTCCACCCAGCCTCGTTCACGTTAGACCCACCAGCACCCCTTGCTCTGCAGCAGCTGCGGCCCCCAGGGTGAGCTCAGAACCTAAGTTTGGGAGACGAGCTCCCTTTTGATGTGTGGGATCTGCGTTTCTTCCTTACGGTGCGGCTCATGGAGATGACAGCTCTTTAACGGGGGCTGTGGTCTATTCGACTGTTTGCAAGCGTCCCTATGCTTCTTTCTCAAGCGTTAGTCAACAGCAGCTTGCAGACGGGACGGAACGTCTTTGTGAGATGGAAAGAACACAGACTAGAATCAGAAAAATCTGCCTCCCAATGCCCCACGGCCATCTTCTGATTGTGTGACTTTACCTCCCTAACTGTTTAAAATAGCCCCACACCTACCTGCCAGGATTGTCTTCAGAATTACATAAAGCAACAGGTATGAAGTCTCTGGACTAGAGCGTGGCACATACCAACTCAGCGAAGACTGGCTTCGCATGACTAAAGCAGTCTAAATCAGAAAGTATTCGCAAGGGTGACTTGATAACACAAACTTTTGCAACGTTCTTAGTTATTGAGACAAAAGAAATACAATATTTTCTAAATTCCAAGACCAAAAAAATAAAACCTTACCAATCAAGAAGGAGCTTTTTGTTCCACAAACCAGCAGCCTCCGAGTTTTTTCTCTTAAATGTCAGACTTTGAAAAGGTTGAGATTTCTGTTCACCAGCGCAGACACGCGGGCCCTCTCTTACTGATTGCCACGGAGTCCCAAGAGTGGGACTCTGCTCTCCCTCTGGCAGCAGTACCACCTCCTTCCCCCTCAGGCTGGGCGGCGTGTCGGGCTGCCCCCCTCACCACAAACTTTATTCCTCAGCGCACACTTCAGATCACAGAGAGGAGACAAATAGGGTGGAGGAAGGAAGACAGGCTGATGTAACTAGGTCACTCGGTAATTTCAATTTCAGATGTAAATTTTTCTTTGTTTCAGAATTATTGATCTGTGGAATATTTCTTGATTCTTCTTGGAAATTACAAATTAATTAAAATGATTGTAGAGTTCTCTGAAAGGCTCCACAGGTTTCTTAAGACAATTTTTAAAAACCTGAAAATACCATATGATCTATGCTTTATGAGCAAAGGCACAGTGAACAGAGAATCAGCCTCTCACCAATATCCCATGGCAGGTCAGCGGCAGCTGCAAATCAAGGCATACCCCAAGCGTAGAGGAGAAATTTCACCCTCAGTACTCATCTGCTTTCTTAGCCATTGTCTACAATCTGTGGCCACATATCACAACTTGACCGATTTAGGGACACAGAAACCCTTGTGTTTCCACACTCCCAAGGCAACCGTCAGTCTTAAGTTGGAGAACAACCTCGTAATTTGAGGGGAAATGTAGGTTACCTTCTGCACCTTGGTCTACCATAAACAGGCTACAAATACCCCAAGGAAAGTCCAGGATTGTCACTTGATGGGAAACACCGACAGCTTCTGCAGGGACAGACGTGTGAGCCTACAACTGTAGTTCATCCACCCCCCCCTTCTTTTTTCAAATGGTTATAAATAGTATTGTTAAATGTTAATTTATGCATGTGAAATACAATTTAGAAAGTACTTTTCATGTTTAGTATTTCATTTAATCCTGACCGATAGTTGGGGGGAAATGGACATCGGGACCTTCGTTTTGTAGATGGAAAGAAACGCGTTGAGGAACTTCCCAAGAATGTATAAGCCAGGAGTAGTGACTTCGGGAAACAAGCCCTGGGTCATCCGTGTCCTCCTGTACCACACCGCAGGGCAGCGATTCCTCCAGCAAACGCTTCCTGATGCCTACTGCGTGCTGGCCACTGTCCAGGCAGGAGGCATACGGCCGTGACTAAAACAGGTAAGAGTCTTGGCCTCACGGGGTTTCCATTCTAGTCATGGAACACAGGTAATAAAAAAAAAAAAAAAAAAAAAAAAAAAAAAAAATGAATGAAAAGATACGTAGTATGGACGTTGGGCAATGCCGTGGAGAAAAATCAAGCAGGGAAGTGGATGGGGATTGTTGAGGTAGCTGCGATTCCAATGAGGGTGAACGGGAGGTTTCACTGAGACTGTGGCATTTAAATAGAGCCCTGGAAGAGGGGAGGGAGTGAGCCACGTGTGTAGCTGGAGGGAAGCACCTTGGGTGAAGTCTTCCATGCAGAATCTGCCTGACGTGTTCAAAGGAAGGAAGGAGCTCAGTAAGGCCGAGGTGAGCTGGGAAGGGGTGGGAGCTGCAGTCGACGGTGAGGGGCTGGTCACAGGGCCTCACAGTCTACTCTAGCGACTTCGCCTCCTCCAGGGGAGACGCGATGCTCCTGGGACTTCGGAGTGACATCATCTGACTTCTATTCTAAGGAGATCACTTTGGCAGCAGTGTTGAAAATGGATTCAAGGGATTTCAGGCCGAATTAGAAAGACCACCCAGGTAAGATATGAGGAGAGTAATTTGGAAACAAAGTCAACAGGATTTACTGACAGACTGGGTGTGAGACTTGACAAAAGGGGAAGCACAAAGGGTGGGTCCGGGAGTCCGAGCCGGGCAATGGACATTGCTCACTCAACGCTGTCTGGGGTGGGAGGGAGAGTTAACAGGAATCCGGAGCTGAGGCACTGAGGCAGCCGCTAGCACACCCGGGCCACGTTCACAACAGCCGAGACGTGGACCCGCCTATGTGTGCATCTGCAGAGGAATGGGTAAGGAAAATGCGGCATCTACACCCCTGGAATGCCACTCAGCCATAAAGCAGAACGGACTCCTGGCATTCTCGGCAGCGTGGGTGGAGCTGGAAGACTTCACCCTGAGTTACACAAGTCAGGGACAGAAAGTTAATCACCGCATGTTCTCACGCATGTGTAGAAGCTGAAAAAAGCGGTCTCACAGAAGCAAAAAGTAGAACAAAGAATGCTATGGGCGGGAAGGCGACAGAAAGCAGAATAGGGAAGGATTTGAGAAAGGACAAGATCAGAGCTAGTGGGGAGGAATAAGTCCTCGCGCTCCACACCACTGCAGAATCACCAGGGTTTTTATATTATATATTCACATGACTAGAAGGTGGTCACTGAACTTTCCAAACATGAAGAAATGATAAGCGTTTGAGGTGATGGATATGTCAATTCCGCTCCTCTAATCGCTAGACATTACGCTTATTGAAACGTCACTAAGTACACCATAAATATGTACAATTATTATTTGTCAATTAAAAATAAAGAATAAAAAAAAAAGATTCCAGTGCCGATATCCAGTGTGCTTGGAGATCACTGTGGTCTCAGAGTAAGATCAAGCTGTGGAGCCCCACCTGGCAGCCCCCAAGGACTTGGGGAACCCCAGGATGGGCACCTCTGGGTGCCACCCTGCCTGGCATACACATGGCGACCCAGGCCAGGATTTCCTTGATGCAGACAATGAGCTTCTCGTGCTGCATGGGGTCGCGCTGGATGGCGTGGAGTGGTGCCGGAGGATGCCTGACTGGGAGAGGGATAAACACAGGAGAGAATGCAGACATTTATTCCGGGAGGGGCTGTGTGAAGAGAAACAAACATGGGTCACAGCTGGAGGTGACACTGGAGCAAAACTGATTTTACTGAAGATCGGGTCATGTTGGTGAGGAGAATGTTGACTATGAAGGAAAGAGAAGGGAGAAGTGTGAGCCGAGTAAACAAAGGGACAAGCACCCAGCGCACCCTCTGGAGACTGGGCTGTGTCAGGGACAGGGCCGGTCTCCCTGGTGGCAGGAGGCGGAGCCCCGGGGGCACAGAGGCCACAAGACAGGGGGGTGCCTTGGTGCGCAGCCATGGGGCTCTCTTCTGATTGCTCCTGTCTTCTCAGGGAAATAGGAAATCAAGGCCTCAGCTGAGGGTGAAGATGGAAAAAGAGGCATCCCAGTTTTAAGAAAAAAGGAAAAGGAATAAGTCAGTCATGCAGGAAGAGGGAGCAGCAGGGGGCTAGAGTCACAACTGCCCAGTCAGCAGCCACCAACTTGAAATGAAGCAGTCACCACAATTGCTTTCTGTCTCTTCTCAGACACGGTTATGTAGGTGCTGTAGCCAAGTGGGAGGAGAGGTGACTCCAACAAGGGCTGTGGTTTAGCCAACTGAGTAAGACAGAGAGGGGCCGGGGGCTGAGAGGGGGCAGTACAGGTACTACGTTGCCTTCTAACCCTCCCAACATTACTGGGTCCCCAGAACATTCTAGCGGTGGCCCCATGGCAGATTAGTTAAAGGCAGCAGGATGCTCACCATCCAGTTTCAGACATGGGGTTTATCCAACCCAGGGCGTTGTCCCTAACTTGGTTCCAAGGACTCCGTCAGACTAGGATGTCGTCCTTGGTGTCAACTACAAATTTAAGAACGCTGTTCCTCAAAACCCTGGCTTCCTTTAAAAGCCAATGATGATGACCAGGCACCTTTAAAAACCAGTGATGGTGGCCAGGCGCGGTGGCTCGTGCCTGTAATCACGCTGCTCTTCAGATGGGTCCAGCACAAAAACTCATCCCATGCAGTCCTCCTGGAAGCCCACTGCGGAATCACTGGAATGGCAGGCTCTGCTCCGACTGTGCCAGCCGGCCCTGTCACCAGCCATGCCAGCGGGCAAGGCAGGGGATTCAGTTATGATCGGGCTTCCCTTCGCCAAGATTGACTAACGCCTTTGCTCAACTTGCCAAACCTGAGCTCCCCTGCCCTGTGGCACTGCAGCATGGGGAACACCAGACAGCTGCCTGGAGTCGGGCTGACTACACGGAAGGGCAGACCTCTGCTCTCACTGCGGTGGACCCTGATTCTGAGTTCGGATCTGCTTTTCCTGCCTGTTGTACCTCTGCTCATCTCAGCAGAGTCCCTGAATGCCATTATGACCGTGACGACATCCCATCGAATGTAGCTTCCAAGAAATCCAGCTCCCCATGAAAGGGGCAAAACTGTGTGGGAACAGCCACCAGGTGAAAGAATGCTAGAATCAACTCTGGAAGATTTATTTACAGGACTAACCGGGGCATGGCCTCTTGAAATGTTGTGATGCAGTCTGTGCCACACACAAATGCTCCGAGTCAATGTCCACGGCTAGAATTTATGGTTCCAGGATCCAAAAGAGGGTAATCCTTCATGGAATTACATCTGCTCAAACATCCCCAAATCCTTCATGGAATTACATCTGCTAAAACACCCCAAAATCGCTGCATCCCAGTCCTGAATCTCTGGGGTCTCCAAGGCTTTAGTTCCCAGGGCAGAGTCCTTTCAGTGGGAACACCATCGTGCTTCCACAAGTCTGGAGCTGAGGCTGCCACTGAGGTGCCCACGCTGGTCTGCAAAAGCACCATGGAGGGTCACTCTTCAGGCTGAGGGACTTGCCCTTGGCTGCCATGGAGAAAATCGGGTTTCTCTATCAAGCAGAGCCAGAAGCAGTATGAGTAGATGTTTTGGTGGGGAAGATCCCTGGATCTTGGGAGGCACTGCCGTGTGCAATGGAAAAGGTGAATGGAAGACGCTTAGAAGAGGATTAGAACAGAATTATTATGGGCTGAATGTGCCTCCCACCCCCACCCAAAAGATAGCAAGGTCCTGACCCCAGGATCTGTGATGTGACCCTACGTGGAAACAGAGTCTTTGCAGATGATGAAGTTAAAATGAGGTCGTTAGTGTGGTCCTAATAGCCTATGTGAC